AGTCAGTTTTTATCTTAAACATATTCACACGGGTTCAGACACACTCACACAGATCTTAAAGTGCACAAAAATAAAAAGCAGTCGTACATACATTTTCTGAAATTTTCAGTGGTAGATAAAACCTTTTAACAAAGTACTTTATCTGGACCACAATTTTTCCAGGGCTTGCTTGGTTAGCCAGGCATCTTACCAATTGGCCTTTTGAATACCTTCAATTGGAGGAAGGCTGGGTGAGGGTCACCTGAAACTAAACTGGCCTGACTCTTGTCTTTTATCCAATCTTAGACAAGAGCACTTTATAACCATTTGCACTGACAGGACCAGCCAAATGTCTGAACCAGGCTCACAGCCATCTACACCCTCCCCTCTGGCAGCTTCCACAAGGAGAAAATGCAGCCTGAGCCTTGTAGTCAGGCAGTCTCAGAATTTTCAAGGCAATTCAGATTAAATCACAAGTTCCATTAACAAAGATCTTTTAGCAAGCAGAATACTTGATAACTTTGAAACCATGACCCTTTTACACATTTCACATATAGACAAATAGGCAGACAAGTTTGTGCACAAATCATAGAGCGCACTTAAGATTTTAATACTGGCTGTTTTAAGAGTTTTTGGAATTTTCGTGGCGATATTTTGCCTAATTATGATTGAACCACATAGTCAGTTAAAAAAACAAAACTTTGCCAACAACAAAAAACTTCTAAGTAGACAGGAAAAAGGACATGAACACAGATAGGTGGCATGCCACAACAAGAACAGAAAACCTTTTAGCTAAGTTTCTTCTTTAAAATGATGCAGTAATCTTGTACACTTTGTTCCTTTTTTTCCTGTTCATCTTTTTTTTGGGGGGGGGGTCCTGTTGTGGGGCCTGAACTCTGGGCCTGGGCACTGTCCCTCAGCTCTTCAGCTCAAGGCTAGCTCTCTACCACTTGAGCCACAGCGCCACTTCCCCCTTTTTTTCTTTTTGCTTTTGTGGTGCTGAGGAATCGAACCCAGGGCCTTAGGCATGCAAGGCAAGCGCTCTACCACTGAGCCACCTTCCTAGCCCCTTCCTGCTTATCTTTTAATTTTTCTGTATATTCTCATCAATGAGCTCTTCTTGCATTGTTTTTAACTCTCTGCCATGTTTTCTCTATTGAAAAATTCCGTATTGGGGAACCATGGGTTATGCTTACAAACAGTATCGAGATACTCTAGAAGTAGTTCTTTGGACAACTCTGCTCCACTTTTCTTAAGCAAGTGATGTCCCATAATGAAATTTTTTCCCCCTTACATCTTTCTGTGGGGACACTGTCCTTCTAATAAAACTCCTCCAGGTCCTTGTTTGGGTGCCACTTGTTTGGGTTGCTCACACAGCAAGATCTGGGAATGCAGTGCCTACTAGGCAGAGAGTGAACTACACCTTGTGGTATAGCTTAATAAAAGCACTATATGCTTATATATAACAGACACACAAAGAAAGTTAATCGTAGTCAACAAACATGAAACAGTTTGATGTGATCAAAAGGTTACAAGAGACAAGCAAGGCCCAGGTGATTTTTCCTCACACATAAAGGGAGTGTGAGGAAGTGTTTTGAGGTCATTCAGAGGAGCATGTAGAGCATGTTCCACAGGTCTTCTCCTGAGACTGCGGCAGGCATCTGGACTGTTTGCCTAGACTTTGAAGTTATCTCCTTCCTCCCAAAGCTGCAGCTGGGTGTCCCTACTGTTTTCTGGACTGTGGAGGAGTTTTCTCCTCGTACAGTAGCACATACAAGCTCACATATTACACAAATCCTCAGATGGGGTCACATTGACCGGTGCCTCAGACAGAAGTATATAGGTGGATTAATTTTAGTAATAGTTTTCTTTTAACCCATTACATTTAAATAATGTAATGGAATATACAAATCCTTAGTGATAGTATACATCTTAGAAAATCATATTTTACCTATAGAATTTATGTGGTTTTAGAGTAGCTGCATCTTAAGTGTTCAACAGTTGCAGGTAGGTCGTGGATACTATTTTCGACAGTGCAGCTGTAGATTGATAATTTTAAGCTGATGTGTTTATAAATGCTGACTAGAGAAAGTCTTTTTACCTCACATAAGATGACATAGAAGAAAATAAAACATAAATATAGATACTATTAAAATACACCGACCCACTGACATGAAATTAATGTTAAATTTCCGTTATATCCCCAAAATTTGTATTCATGATTTTCTAGTATGAAAACCCCAATCACAGCACAAGTATTTGAATTGCTCTTTTTCAATTTTTACTAAGTATTGAATTTTATAGGACTAAAGATTTCTGCACCTGGATATGGTGATGCATGCCTATGTAATGACAGCTAATTGAGGAAATGGCTAGAGGTATGACTTAGAGGTAGAGTGCCAGCCTAGCAAGTGCAAAGCCCTGAGTTTAAATTCTGCTTCTGCTTTTTAAAAGACTACCCAGAATACTATTATGTATACTGCACATTGAATTTGGAGAAAGTACCTCCATTAGTTTAAAATATGCAAGTAACTTTCTTAGGCAGGGAGTATTGAGCCAATAAAATTGCGTATTGCTTATATTACATCTCTTAAATACAGCCACTACTTTACCATAAAATGTCCTTACTTCAAAATTATTTGTGTATATTTGCTACTTTTTCTAGAATTGTAAAAACCAATTTCTGTGCCTTCTCTTGACCCATAGATGTTTATGTCTCTGTGTGTCTTATTTTGCTAATGAGGCTTTAGTAGGTGTGGAAAAGGACTTGTAACTTGACTGTTTAAAAGATTCATAACCATAACATATCTTCTGTTACTACTAATTTGAAGTTTATTTACTGTATTTAATGTAATTTTCTAATAAGGGAATATAACTGATCAATACAGAATTTTCTACTGAGAGAGTGAATGGTTGAAACATTTGGGTGTACAATTTGTAGATCTTTTGGATCACTACTTAGACTTGAATTGCTTAAATTACCTAGGGATCTTTTATTTTTGCCAGTCTAGGGACTTGAGGTAGGGTCTAGCCTCTGTCCCTTAGCTTCTTTTTCTCAAAGCTAACGCTCCACCACTTGAGCCTACAGTGCCAAGTCTGGTCTTTTCTGAGTGGTTTATTGAACATAGGAATCTCATGGACTTTTTCCTGGGCTTACTTCAAATCTTGATCCCCAGATCTCAGCCTCCTGAGCAGCTAGGATTACTGGCATGACTGATGAATACCCAGGAGGAATCTTATTAAAATGCAGCTTCTGTTTCAGTAGTTTTCAGTGGAACCAATTCTGCTTTTCTGTGCTTTCAGAACCAATCCTGCTTTTCTGAGCTTTACTTATGTTTATCCTTTCACTAGTAAGGATACAAAAGCTTACTTTGTAAAAGGAGGAAATTGAACTCTAGAGAATTTTACTGACTTGCCCAAATTTTCAAAATTGATTAGTGATGATCAAGACTGTATCATTGAGTGTCTTGGTTTGAAACTTGTTCTTTTTCTAATGTGTTGGTATTTCCATATTTATAGTTATTGTTTGCTTTACTTTCAAAGCTAATTTTTTTACTTGGTAAAGATGATGCATTTACATATTATATTTCAAATATTGTATTATATTTCCTTTTGGGAGTTCTAAGAATCATCTTTAAAAGAAGCCTGAGTTACCTTGGTTTCTAGTAAAATTTTCAGCAATTTGTTCTGAAGAATTCTGTTGATTTTCCCTTGCTTTTTAAAGTGCTGTCACTTAGAAATAGCGGGAAAGTTTGAATTGTAGTGTACTGTTAAAATGATCTTTAAAGACTTACTAATGTAGTAAAAATTACATAGCCTTTAAGTAGTCTATTCTTAATGCCACAAAAGCTTACTGCAAACCATTAAAAAATTAAAAGCAAATTAAAATGCACATGGCTATTCTCAAAAAAAAATACAGCTGCAAGGATAAATACTTTTACATCAAGGATATAGGATTATATTTATTATAAGGGGAAAACACTTGTTTATTTATTTAGTGTGTTTTTCCCCCTCTGGAGAGTTCAGAAAAAAACACTTAAAGTTGGGTGATTAATCACTAAAGCAAATGTTTTTAAGCATCAAGAGATTTTAGTTTATTGGATTAACTTCTTGAGTAACATAAGACTGGAAGATCAGACATCATCATCTGAAAAGTTTGTTATTTTCATGTTAGCAGATAAGTGTCTTAGGGATTGTGTATTTCAACAGAAACATTTATTTGATGGATATTTTAGGGAGAGCCTTTTTGATATCTTAGGTAAAAACAAGTGCCATTGACTTATCTGACAGGAGAAATTTGCTTAATGAAGTTGTTCTGTGGACAGCTGCAATATGTTGCATTGTGTTTCTAATGTGTGCTACAAATATGTTCAGACCATTGACAACATGAACTGCAGTATAGTGGCTGTGGAGGAGGCCCATTTTAAGTTATGCTTAGTCCTCATTTTACCAGGTTTCTGAATGGTTTGAAATTTTAAGACTACTTTTGTCCAAACTCTCTTTTTTATATGTATTTGTATATTAAAAAAAATTCATCTCATAAAACCAAACCACAGTTTTTCACAACAGAACCTAGTACTCAAGTTTTTTACCTTTCCCGTTCTATTATCAAAATCTTAACTTTATTTTATATTCCTCTGGTCTTTTTGCTTTTCTTCTATTAAAAAAATACTCCTTTGGAAAAAATACTTGTTCTAATTTGGCATTCTTCATGATGTGCCTCCAGCTTTAGCAGTTTGATTAGTATCCTTTTGGCTTGGGTTAGAAGGATTTAAAAATAAGAATATGTTAGATATGTTGGACATAAGCAGCTTGAAAAAGGCATCTTATGAAAATAGACCCTTGGGAAACACTTAGATGGGGAACATTTTGGAACCTGTGAAATGGAATTTACTAGAAAGTTAGTGGTGCTACTGTTTTCCTAGCCACTCTACTTGTGACAGTTACATGTAGATTGAGCCCAGGGCTCAGCACATTAGAGACTTAAGGAAGAAATCATTTCTTCAATTTTTCCTCTGCAGTGGTGGTGACCGCGGTGGCTTCAAAAATTTTGGTGGTAAGTGCTGAGTATCCCAAAATGTTTCAGTGGAAATGCTATATAAATCTAAAAGCCACCAATATCCCTCAGATGCAGTCTATGCCCTTTCTTACTCTATTGAGGCTGGTGTGTTGTGTGCTTTTTTTTTTATAAAAAAATAAAAATATATATAGTCTACACACATATCAAAGTAAATGTTAAAAAACCGAAGTTGATCTCAAATAGTCCATGGGTTTCTACACAGTGTATATGCATGAAAGAATCTGGTGACCAATGAATGAGAACTTCACTGAATTTTGACTATGTTTTTTCTTTTATAAGGTAGCTGACGTGGTGTTTTAAAATTATTAGGGTTTTCCAATCAGCTTTTAGAATCAGAGCTTAAGAAAAATGATAATAGCAATAATGATAAAGTGGTGGTACCATCTTAAACAAGTTTAAGGAAATGTTGATGTTCATCTTAGTTTCTTAAGCCTTTAGTAAAAGTTTATGTAGTCTGTAAATTTGTGATGATTGACTTTCAAGGATTTTGAAACTATTGACAAAAATTTTATGCCTTGGTTATTATTACAGTTTTATTTTTAAATATTTCAAATGATATGTCTTAAAATAGCTTTTTCTTTCTCTTAGGTCACAGGGATTATGGACCCAGACCAGATGCTGGTAAGGTTCATGATAGTTTGTGATTTTGCAGTTAAGAAGATGTTAATTTTCTGTTTATTGAAGGAGAGAGTGGGAGGGATTAGTAGTGGAGGGAGATTTAATTTAATAGTACTACCAGAACTAAGGAGTTTCATTTCTAAAGAAATGCCAGGAGAAAAAAATTCAGGGAAAATTTGCTAGGGAAGTAGGTTTATGCTTTCCCATGTTCTACTTTTCTTAATTTTTGCTACTAATAAGCATTATCTAATTATTATAATCAGATTTGATGAAAGAATTGATATCCCTGGTAAATTAGAGGTAGAAAACCATGTTTAAGCAATACTTATATTATATGGTGGTATATATTATGTGGTGGTATCTATATTATATGGTGGTCCACAACTATAATCCTGGCTGTGAGGACAGGAGACAGCTCAGGAGGATGAGATTTGCGGTCAGCCTTTACAAAAAATTAGCAAGGCTCCTATTTCTACCAATAAGCCAGGCATTATTATTCGTATCTGTAATCCAAGCCATGTGAGGCAAATATGTAGGAGTTTCTTTGTCTGAGTCCAGAGCAGAAAAATATAAGACCTTAAACAAAAAATAAACCAGTATGTATGGCTCAAGTTGTTGAGTACCTACCTATTAAGCATGAAAGCCTGAGTTGAAGCCCCTAACTTCAGACGAAACAAAACTTCTGTTAATGGATTTTTATCTGTTTGGAGTACCTAAGAAATTTGAGTTGAAACATGGAAGAATTGTTTTAGTCCGGGAATAAGTCACTAATTTTATGTGGCTTTTTATTTTTAAATGAAATTGAAGGCTGTAGATTTACTCATGGAGCCTTTTGAAAATAACGATTCAGTGGTTAAAAATTTCATTTGAGCCAAAAAATTTAATATATATTGAAATCAGAACTTTTGTTTTTATTAAGATGCCAAAGTATTCTATATGGATGGCAATTTCTGAATTATCCCTTGATGGACTGAATTTTTATACATCTTTCTTACTTTGTTGTACTAATCCAAAAGTGTGCGTGTAAGGTAAGGTGTGTGTACCAGGTGCTTCTACCCTCTCATATGTACAAGGCTTATCGCAATGAATGGGAAACCAGCATTCTGCTTGGCTTGCTTGGAAGTCCACAGTGTTGGATTTGGGGGAATTTTGTACTTGCGAGCCTCTTAAAAAAACTGACGTCATTAAAAAATTCTCCAGAGAAAGGAATGCTAATTTAAATTAACCCTCTTTGTCTCTTTATGAGCTTTACTTTAGTCTGTTCCTGAATTTGAAGTGAGATTTTTAAGATCTCCCTTAATTGTTCTGTATGTATGTCACAGAGTGTGGACTTGATGCACTTTACCAAGAAGTGATTTACCTTCAACTATTGTGAACACATTGCATGTTTATTTAAGAATCTTCGTATGGTCAATTTTTTTTTTATTTTGTTCTTAGAGATGGTTGACTACTAGACAGTAAGTTATTGTTCTAGATTACTGTAGTAGAACCAAGGAATATGTCAAATTAACCGTAATATTTTCTCCTTTAGATTCAGAGTCTGACAATTCAGATAATAACACAATCTTTGTGCAAGGACTTGGTGAGGGTGTGTCTACAGATCAAGTAGGAGAATTCTTTAAGCAAATAGGAATTATCAAGGTGAGTAGAAAGTAGGGTATATGTTGAAAATGTCCTAATTCTTAAGATACTCTTAAATTATACGAATTACTTAACTTGCCTATGTAGTCTATTCACTAAGAGTTGTCTTAAAGTCCTTGGATGTATATGTTTACCATGTGCATATATCTTTGCTAAACAGATGCAGATTTTTATCCCTTGCTTGTGTTTAAATCTTCTACAGTTTCTACTGTGCTTTAGCTTTAATCCCAGGGCTCTACAAATAGTCTCTGATACACTCCAAAAATTGTGAGAACAAGAGGTGATCATGAAAATAAACATTTTATAGATTCTAAAATGAATATATCCAAACCCAAGTTATTAACATTTTCTGGCATTTAATGTCTCACATATAAGTGCATTATTATTTTATGATTGTTTATTGTTCACTTGAGCTTGCACTCTTCATTTCTAGGAATTTTTAATTCTTTAACTAGAAGGCCTGAAGAGGGTTTTAAAGTATGAATAGTACTTGCTTGGAATCAATTTATGTTAATCCTTTTTCTAGTGTCAGAGGAATTGGTCTATTTCTATTTGTACATGAAATATATAAGTATATCAGATTTTTTGAGCTGGGATGTATCTCAGGGCAAAGCACTTGCCTAGCAAGTGCATCATCCTGGGTTTGATCCCTTAGTACCAAAAAAGAAAAGACAAAAAAAAAAGTTAAAAATAAATCAACTCTTTTTTTCCTCTCTTGTTTTTACTTTGCTTTTTCTCCTCACGGCTAGTGCTCTTACCACGTAAGCCATAGTTATACTTCAATGGCTAATTGGAATTTTGTATGCTTAGGATTATAGGCATGATCTAGTGACACCCATGGCCTCTTATATGCTAGGCAAGTGCTTAGCTACATCTCCAGTCAGTCTAATAACATTTTTACAGCTTGGTATTTAGTTAATGTAGCTTGTCCAAACCTATAGGTAACTTTTTTTTTCCAGAAACTTAATTTTTTTGGAGGGGAGGTCAGTGATGGGGCTTGAACTCAGGGCCTGGGAGCTGTCCCTCAGTTCTTCAGTTCAAGGCTAGTGCTCTACCATTTGAGCCACAGCACCACTTCCACTTTCCTGGTGGTTTATTGGAGATAAATCTCACGGACTTTGCTGCCTGGGATGAATCATGACCCTCAAATCTCAGCCTCCTGAGTAGCTAAGATTACAGGTGTGAGCCACAAGTGCCCAGCTGAAACTTAATTTTTTTTTTTTTTTTTTTTGGTTGGTTGTGGGGCTTGAACTCTGGGCCTGGGTGCTGTCCCTCAGCTCTTCAGCTCAAGGCGAGCGCTCTACCACTTGAGCTACAGCGCCACTTCGGTTTTCTGGTGGTTTTATTGGAGATAGGAGTCTCATGGTCTCCTTCCCTGGCTGGCTTTGAACCTTGATCCTCAGCTCTCAGCCTCCTGAGTAGCTATGATTACAGGCGTGAGCCACCAGCGCCCGGCAGATAACTTCTTTTTTATGCTAAGTGTACCATAATTTTGTAGTATGGATATGTAAATGCCTTTAAAATTTTTAACATAATAATGGCACATGGCTTTTCTTGAAATGCTAATGCCAGTTTATTTTTTCTTTAGACAAATAAGAAGACTGGAAAACCAATGATAAATCTTTACACAGACAAAGACACAGGAAAGCCAAAAGGAGAGGCAACAGTATCGTTTGATGACCCCCCATCAGCTAAGGCAGCTATTGACTGGTTTGATGGTATGTCTCATTCATATAGTATTGGAGAAATATTCTGGGAGATACTGGTTCAATTTATGCATACTTTAGTAGATACTAAAAATATAGGCCAGAGTTTTTATATTCCTTTAGGAATGAGATAGATGCTAAACTTTTTTGTCTAGAATATTTTTTTTTTTTTTTGGGGTCCGGTTGTGGGGCCTGAACTCTGGGCCTGGGCGCTGTCCCTCAGCTCTTCAGCTCAAGGCTAGCGCTCTACCACTTGAGCCACAGCGCCACTTCCGGCTTTTGTTTTTGCTTATGTGGTGCTGAGGAATCGAACCCAGGGCCTCATGCATTGCAAGGCAAGCACTCTATCACTGAGCCACCTTCCCAGCCCAATGAGTACATTTCTTAGCAAGCATTGTTGCCTCCTCCTCTGTTTCCCCTTACCATCCCTGCCCTCCCATCTGCGCCCCCTAACCGCCCAGAATATTTCTTATATCCTACCTTGTATATGAGGCCTAACACTGATAGAGATAAATGGAGTTGGTTTGGTTGACTACAAGAATAATTCTAAGAATTTTCAATTTTATTTTGAGACAGGTGTTACTACATAGCTCAAGGGGCTGAGAATGTGGCTTAATGGTACAGTACTTGCCTAGCATGCCCAAAGCCCTGGGTTCAATTCCTCAGCACA